AAGACTCGAAAATAACACAAAGAAGTCCAGGATGAGTGCATCACATGAAAACCCTGTTACTTTGAAGCAAGACCAGAGCAAGCCACATCCCAACAACAGCCCTGTCAAGTCAACTAACCTGCCTGTAAGAAACTAAACTGTCATTTATGAAAATCCTTGTTGTTATAAATAAGCAAAGTGAACACCAACTTTTTACAATTGCTAATACAACTTGATTTTACCTCTCAGTATGAGATAGGAGGTCTGCAAAAAGTGGCAGCAGCAACATTTTACTCTTGTCTAATTAGCAAAACCATTGCATAGATGGACCTTCTTACTGAACCCTTCCCATATGTTCCATACAAAACCAGGAATTAAGAAAATTCAGCAATGATGAGACTTCCCAAAAGATAATTTCTACGTAATCATTTTTCTGCCCTCATTAAAATGTGAGCTATACGAACACCACTTCTGATTCACAGAGGGTTCAGAAACAGATGAGTGGTACAAACTGGGACTACATCACCCGATACCAGAACCTTCAGCTACAAGAACCTCAGTAAGGGTCTCAAACCACAATTCATACTGCTGTAAAACTGACCTACAGAGAGAAATGTATTTACATTTGTATTGGCTGTCTGTGCTGGTTTTGGCTGGGATAGAGTTAATTTTCTTCACAGTAGCTGGTGTGGGACTATGTTTCCGATTTGCGCTGAAAACAGTGTAGATAATACAGGGATGTTTTGCTGAGCAGCAGCACTTCCACAGAGTGGAGAACTCTTCTGCTTCTCACCCCACCCCACCAGCAAGTGGGCTGGGGGTGCACAAGGAGTTGGGAGGGGACACAGCTGGGACAGGTGACCCCAGGTGACCCAAGGGATATCCATGACACCATACGGTGTCATGCTCAGTGGCAGAACTAGGGGGAAGGCTGGCAGGGGGGCCGCTGCTCGGGGACTGGCTGGGCATCGGTCAGTTGGTGGTAAGCAATTGTTTTCCCCTGCACTGCTTGTCTTCCTTGGGTTTTATTTTTCTCATTGTTATTTCTCCTCCCTCTTTTCCTTACAATTTATTAAAACTATTATTTAAAAAAAAAACCAAACAAACAAACTGTTAAACTGTTTTTATGTCAACCCATGAGTCTTCTCATTTTTACCCTTCCAATTTTCTCCCCCCATCCCACAGCAGGGGGGGGGGATGTCTGTGAGTGGCTGTGTGGTGATTACTTGCCAGCTGGGGTTAAATTACCACACTGTCCTACAACACCAGGAACACCCTGGATATACAATACCCATATCCTGTGGAAGCAACGCTTTGATTCATCTGTGAACAGTGAGTTAAAAATGCTCTAATTTATCTCTGTGATCCTCTTCGGCTGTAGCATCATAGTCTCTTTCCATCTATATGTAAGTAATGGAAGTAGCTTACAAAATCTGCAGGCTCTTATATATTTCATGCCAGTGGCCTCACACTGCTAGGATATTTCTCACATCACAAGTTATGGCTTACCTCTCCCTCAGCCTTTTCCTTTCTTCATAGGTGGAATGAAGAGATGAGCAGAAGGGTGGGATAGGTAACCAGGAGGCATCAAGTTTTCAGGAAACCTCTTTACAAGCTCAAGTAACCTTTACCCTCAATGCCATACCTCCCTCAGGAAATGAAGGGAAAATTTTCAGTTTTAAGAATTTTATTATTTAGAAATTGTGCTGACACACAGAAATCTGCATCATTCCAGAACACTGACAGCTCCATAAGTTGTGGTTTGTCCTTATGTACAAGCAAGCCATGCATCAAATGACATACAAGCCTTATTCTCTTGGCACCACTGAGTCCCACCAAAACTTATTTAACACCCCTGCACTCTTTTGCAAACCAAGACAACTTTGCTAAGCAGACAGACTTCTGAACTGAAACATTACTTCTGCAAGCCAAAGGTTGCAACAGACAAAATTGAGCAGTAATTAATTCACCACTGAAATCAGAACCTTACATTGCAGACACACCCTGAACTTGCTCTTCTACTGCAGTGAGAGAATTTCAACAGTGAGTAATTTTGTAACATCCATTGAAATCTGCCTTGGACACTGAACACTGAGATAAAAAACACTCTAAGGTAAATCTACCTATACAGTAAGAACAAGCACACATAATACGTCCTTGCAGCTCCATCATGCTAGCTCTCTCTCTACTTTAAATATGTCTAGTGGGTTTGATCCCAGACCACTAGATTTTGCTCACCTGAAGAGATTTACATCTTTTTAGTACACAATTTACTTTGTATTGCTAAAAGAACAGACTTCTGAAGAAAGGATTTGTACAAGGTCTTTGATAAGTTGAGGTCTTCTCAACCCCACTCTGTGGTTAAGGGAAAACTACACCTATCTCAGTTGCTTTTCCCTCAATTTGAGCTCTTATTTTATGAGTTTCATATCTTCATAAACAGAAAAATCTGTTGCAGTGTTGGGATTGACAGAAATTATGCTAAGCATGACAGCAGCTGATAAGACACAACAAATCCATCTCAGTAAACAGAGGAAAGTGTACCAACTGACTCAGATTTTGGTGGAATAATTCTTCAGGAGCACAACACTGATACAACATTGTATCAGCAATAATGTAGAGACTCCTCTGTACTGTCTAATGAATCATTAAATATTCACAGTAATCTCTGACCATGTACCAGTTAAAAGACTCAAAATCATTAAACTCTGTGATGTCCCATTTTCCTTGTTACATCCTCCTTCCCAGAAAACGTACCTACAGCTCTTAAAAAAAACAAACGCTGGAAAGATGTAGATTCCAGTCTCTGATAATAAATCAGCAGATTTGGACGCTTTTCTTAAATCATTCAGCCACTTCCAAAGATCTAAGTAAAAGCAGCAATGTAAAGTTGCATTCTACGTTTCAACATTAGGCAGTATTTTTTGGAGGAGAGTCTGTTATGGATCTGAGAGTTCTGATCCACTAGTGGTGGCATTACCATAGCTCCTGGAGTTATTTTAAGCTCTGATCCATAACTAATATGTAGATGGCCAAAGCACTCACGATTCTGCTGCTGAGCAACAGATCATTGCAGCCCGATGAAACAGGTATTTGATCAATGCTGCAGGCAATGACAGCATAGTTCAATATTTTCAGTCAGAAGTTGAAACGCTTGTTTGAAGAGGAGCACCTTGGGGTTTTCTGGATTGGTCATACTTTAAATGACTTTTAGTCCCTGATTATTTTTTTTTTAAGTGTACTTCATCCAGTCAGTGGCCTTTTAGTGAAAGTGGCACTGACCTGTATGTAAACAGCACCAATCATAAGGAAAAAACTACAAATTCAGTGATATTAGGATGGTTTGCAGGCTGGCAGAGGGCTGTTTATACATGATGAATTTAGGATTTCAGGCTATGAGGACTACCAAGAGCCACAAGCTCCGCCATATCTCCTTTTCTACTTGGATATTGATCCACGTTTCTTATCTGAAACTGGGAAAACTAATGTATTCACTATTCCCATTTGTCTGCCCACCACTCTCACAAAGACAACTGAAGGGTAGGGGGAATGGCTTGTAGGTTACAGCCTCGTATATTGAAGTAAATCTGTTTACTTAACACGGTGGGCTATAAGTGTGGTGGCTCAGAAACTGGTAAACATTGCATTCTGCTGTACTTGCACAGTCAGAAAACCTGCAGGTGAAGCAGCCCAACAAATACTTCAGAAACCATCATCTAACCTATTATCGTGAATTATTTGGCACTCTTTGTGAAAACACAGAAGGAATTCATGCTGAAAGGATGCAGAGGACACAAGGCAAGTCAGAAGTATATACAATCCACCTTCACAAGAAACCTCACCTGAATACAAGACAAACTACTGCAAAGACCCTATAGCCCCCAGAGTATTTAACTGTTTGGGAAAGTTCCAGTGGAAATAAATAACTAAAAATGTTCCTTAGCAACTCTGTAATATTTAATTCTATATCATTTGCATAAGATATAAGTACCTCTGATAACTGAGCGTGCAAAGATATGGCTGTACCTTTTGAGGATTATCTAATTTCCAGCTGCACAGACACACATTTCATTATTAAGCTGAGAGAGTCAGATCGAAAGTGTTATTTTAAATCAAATTCCAACTAAAAATAACCTTATAATAATGCCAAGGAACAGAGGCGCTTACCAGACCATAACCACCCTACAGGTTAGACGGGAGCCTTAAAGGAGAAAGAACAGCTTGAATAACTAACGTAAATCCTCCTCCCCACTGAAGTTTTATGTCTGCAGTTTGCTTATACGTGACAATTCACCTCAACGCACAAGCGACTTTTAAAAGCCCAGGCTTTCGGCCTCCGTCCTAGAAATAATAATAGAGGCGTCACCCAAGCTTTGCGCGGCTAAACGTCGTTTCAGAGCAACACAAACGCCAGCCGTAAGAACCCGCAGGCAGCTCCAATCCCCGTGTTTCGGGACGGCAGGGACGGCGCGCAATTCCCCTCCTTGCCGAGGAGGCAAATCCTCCTCCCGCCCCAGCCCTCCCAAAGGCGGCCGGGGGGTGCGTTCCGGTGGCCCCAGCCGGGCGAAGGACGGCTCCACGCCACGGCAGAGCTCCCTGCGCCACAGCCGGGCCGCCGCACCGCCGGGCCCCATACGCCGGCGCCGGGGGGCTCGCCCGGGCGGAGCGGCGGGGCAGACGAGCCTTCCCAGCAGCGGGGAGCCCGCCCGACCGCCGCCGGGGGCTCCGCGGCCGAGCGCCGCCCCTGAGGGGCCGCCCCGGCGGGAACCGGCGGCACTCCAGCGGCAGCGGGGAGGGCCCGCGGCCGGCTGCGTGCCGAGCCCTACCGCCGCCCCCCGGCCCGGCTGCCGGGCACTCACCGCCGAGGAAGGTGCCAAGGACGAGGCATTTCTTCTTGTGCCGCTTGAGGAAACTCCAGAGCGACCGGAGCATCCTGCGCGCCCGGCCCGGCCGCCCCTCGCCCCCTCGCGGCGGCGGAAGGGGCGGTGGCAACGGCAGCCCCGCCCGCGGTGCCTCGCCGCCCGGCCCCCCGGAAACACCGCCCGCGCCCCGCCGGTGCCGGCCATGGAGGAGGAGGAGGCGGCGGCGGTGGCCTGGATGGACCAGGCCCTTGAAGTGGTCAGTGCGGGCGGGCGGGAGGCTCCCGCCTCCCCCCCCCAGCCCCCTCTCGGCTGTGAGGGGTGCGGGCGGCCTCGTTCCACCGTCCCGCGGGGAGAGGCCTGAGGGGAAGCGGGGAGCCGCGGGGCGGGCGGGCTGGCTGGCTGGGGCCTCCCTCACGGCAGCGCCGCGCGGGCGGGGGGGTTCGTGAAAGCTCGGTTCGTGCTTCCCGCCGGTAACGCTGTCCTGCGCCTCGCGTCTGTCCGTCTGTCCCTCCTGCAGGCTAAAGAGGCGCTGGGGAAGGGGGAAGTTCCCGTCGGCTGCCTCCTGGTGTATGGCGGCGAGGTCATCGGGAGGGGCAGGAACGAGGTCAACGAGACGAAGAACGTGAGTTGGGGCGGGCGAGGGGTCCCGGGGCGGGGCTGGAGGGCGAGGGTGCTCCCGGGGCGGCGGGGCGGGCTCCGGGGGGGTTGGGGGACGGTTTTGGGGAAGCGTCGTCCCGGCGCCCGCGGCCGCCGTGGGGAAGCGGGCGGGTGCTGGGGTAACGGGGGATAAGGGGTGGCAGAGCCGCGGTGTAAGCTGGAGGCTACCGCCCCGGGAAGGGGTTTGGGTTTCAGACGTGCTCTCTGGAGGCCTGCCAAGTCGCCTTGGGGCTGAGGGTAGAGAAAAAAAGTGACCTGCGCAGCCTTGCTGTTGAAAGTCTTTCCACAGATGCTCCAGAAACAGTTCTGAGCGAACTGGTGTTTTCATCTTACGTGATAAGGTTATCTGAAAAGTAAATGAACTGTAAATTGGAAATCCAACTCTGTTGCTTTTCAGGGGAAAAAAAAATCCTTATAAATAAATGAATAAAAAGTTTCATTTTGGAAGGGACAGGGAAAGACAAGGACTTGGGAAATTGTGTCAAGTTACAGAATATATAGGGTAACAAAATCTCACATCTAGTTTATGAAAATTCTTTCACAAAATTTTTCTTTCTGTAAAACATTGCCTGTAAATTTTAGACCTGACACTTGCAATTTTATCCATCAAATTAGATTTTACACATGCTGAGAGACCCATTGAAGCCAACAGGGATTTTGTACAACTGGAAGTTTTATATAAATGAATCTGATTCCAGGAATTGGCTGTAATGTGTATTAGATGTCTCATCTGAAAATATAATAAAAGATGAACATGAGTCTTTTAAGCTCAAAAATGTAACAGTAACAATGAATCATTATACTCATTTGTGCTACAGGACAATCCATAACGTATTAAGATAATTCTAATACAACTCAAGAAAGCCAGATGACAGAGAAGCTAGTATCTGGAGTTGCATCAGTGTAAACACTGTGGGGAAGCACACACTTCTTGGGAAAATTGTGACAGAGATACTAATGCTGTGTAAAACTCACATGTTAATAAACAGGTAGAACATAACTGACAAGACTGATAACAGAATCAACTTCAAAATATTAGGGAAGCTTTTGGACTTCTTTAGTGTTAACATCAGGGTTGTCTGAAAGGTTGTACTTAAATCCAAGTAGCCTGCATTTTGGAAACAGTAAACTTAATATCTTTGAGAGCCAAGCATTTTTTCAGTTTCTGTGTAACTCGAGTTTCAATTCTTTCGTGGATTAGTTTTCATAAACACTTATATTACAGTGATTGAAATTGCTGGGCACTCAGTGCTTCTAAACTCTGTCTCAGATACTTAATTGCTCCATACAGACTAAAATAAAATGTATGCTTGAAAGAGGCACTTGCTGGGAAATGTGAATGCAGGAAGTTGTTTTCAGTTTTCTCCTAATGATTTCTGGCATTATTTAGGAACAATCCTGGGGGAAAAACAGCCCCTCTTGAACCATTGAGGCATTTCCAGCAGACATCATAGATTTGTTGAGGTTCTTTTTAAAATTAATTTCTCGTCCCACTTCATATTGGAGGACTTTTCCAGATCATCATTCCTCAGTTGGCTAGAAAACATCTGATTTCCAGTTTATAAATTTTTTATAGTCTGTTTATATCTCTCTATTCTTGTGCCAGCATCATCCATTATTTTGAATAGCTTGAATGTCATGGTCATATTCTCTTTTGGCTTTTGTTTTTCCCTGTTTTCCCCAAGCCAACTGTTTAATATCCTCACAGAAGATAGGCTTTCTTTCTGTGTTCATTCTAATAATTCTTGTATACATCCATTCCAGCTTTGATTCATCTTTCTTGAATTAATTTAACCAGAACTGTATACTTTATTCCAGATGGATTTTCTTCTGTGCCTTGTTTGATAACAGTAATATTTCCTGTTCTCTCTGGAAGCAAGTCCACCCATCTTTTCTGGAGCTTCCTTGGTCTTTTACACTGTTTTGTTATACTTCATTTGTTGTTTTGCCTTTTTTTTTTTTACTCCCATCTATAAGGCCATCCACCTCTTGAGTGACACTCTGACCCTGTCTCTTCTGATGATGTCTTTCATCACATGAAAGACATTGTTAGCTGTTTTCTGTAGGTGTTTTTCCAGTTAAGGCCAGTGTCACAACTGAAAACATTTAAACAAAATGATCGTTGAGCATATTTGTTAATTGATTCCTTCTAGACAAATATTTCCCCTTTCAGTGCAGCTTCTCTTCTTTGCTTGCTCACCTTACATTTCTTGTGCTATGCTGTTTTCCCCATACTGACAAAAATGTCATCTGTTGTGGGTCAGATGCCTTGTAGAAGTCCAGAGCGGTGAGACTGGTGTTTCTCTTGCCTAGTAAAAACATTTTTCAAAGAAAGTTACTGGCTTAATTTAGTGTCAACTATCTTGTGTAAATCCACATTGTATGTTGTTTCATTTTCCTTTTATAGACTAGTCCTTATAGTATTACCTTCGAAGTTTGTTATGTTGCCTGTTTTGCTGTTGAGACTATCCTGTATCTGTAGATGTCAGGATTGTATGTCCTTCCTGTTTTTTGTTATTGTGAGTCTGTTTGTTCTGACAGGTTTCAGACATGTGATACTCTCCCCTGATGTATTGAAAGCTTTGCGATGAGATTGGCAACCTCACGCACAAGTTTTTTAGGATTTTTCTGATGGAGATGATCTACCAACTTTGGGTTTTGTCCCTCATCCCTCTGCCATGCCCTAGGCAATTTCATAATTTTAAAGTCCTACTTCTGTATCTCATACACTATAAATTGTGTTTTCATAATCTTATTCTGCCTTTTGACCACCTTTTCCAAGTCATTTTTATTGAAAAGGCAAAATATTAGTTTTGGTTTGGAGTAGTACCGTAATTATATTTGAGCCTCATCTCAAGGTCACTGTGGTAGTTCTAACTCCTTTTTCACATGGTTTGTTTCAAGGTATTTTTACTTGTTAGGTAATTTTTTTTGGAAGGTTGACATTTGGTGATTCTTCCTTTAGCCTTTGCTTTCTGACCTCCAAAATGTAGCTTTATATTTATATGGGCTTATTTCACTTCTTGAAAATTTTCTTGCTGCTTGTAAAAAATGATTGTTTATCCAGTTAGATCTGCAGTCTTTCCCTACAATTCTGTCCTTTCTTGGGAATCAACTTGCCACTTGGCTTTGTGTCAAATAAATTTCATCTTCTCATGAAATAAGTCCCTGTATCCTCTGACCTGACTGGCTGGAGTTAGGAGTAGGTAGTGTCTTCTTTATGCCCTCTTTCATTCTGATCCTAAACTGCTCATTTTGGCAGAAAGATTTATTGGCTGAAAGCTCTCCGTGTTTTTTTTTTTTTTTTTTTTCAGTTTGTCTCCTGTCACCTTGCATACTTTGTTTCTGCCCTGCATGTCCATAGCAGAACACGTTAATGTCAGAGATACTGCTGCTTACTCTGTGGAAGTTATTTGCAAAATTATTGATCATCATTGCAGACTTCTGGAAAAAGTTGCTGTTGGAAGAGGGGAGTTTATATAGAGCTGTGTTTGGTTTATTTAATTTTTTTTAGGAGCATGGCTGTGACATCAGCATTTCAAAACAGTTAGGCATGTCATTACTTGGATTCATTGGGCAGTAGTGTAACAAATGTCTAAGACATTCCTTTTCAGCAGCTTGGTGATACATTCACAAGCTTGTGCCAGTGCTGTGTTCCCTCTGTCAGCTCCCACACTTGTTTGTTCACAGTCTTGTCTCAGACCAACCTGAAAATTTTCTTCCTTATAACATATGTGACCCTTCCCACCTAGAACCCTTTATTTTGGCATCTTTATTCCCATGTGTAATGCAATCATTCACTTCCCACTAAATGCTCTCTGTCTTAGGTCCTTTGCTGATACATGCAGACTTCTCTTTGTTATTTCCTGCTGGGTCATTGTAGCATTTATCTTTGCCCAGATCATCTTGCAAGCACAGTGCATGATAACTGAAAGTGAAGTATTGTTTGCACTCTTAAATTACTAATGAAGCTACAAGATGATACAGAACTTTTGAGCTTTGTCCCCCTTTACTCTCACTTGTTAATTCTGGACCAAGATTTAGAAGGTAAGCTTTTCAGGGCAGTGATGATATCTTTATTTGTCTATAAAACATTTGCCAAAGTTTGGGGCACTATTTTAAGGCTTTGTCAATGCTTTTTTCCCATGGACGTCAGCTTCAAATAATTTTTCGTTGGAACACCCTTGCTACTCTTACCTGCTTCTGTTTTCTTGGCTTTAAAATAGTGTATGAGATTAGGCAAGTTGAAAAACAGTAGGGTTTTATAGAAGCTTATGAATTGCGTCAGTGACTCAAAATGAAAATCATCTTTTTTGTATGTTATTTTACACACAGCAAGTCAATAAAAAAGGCTATCTGGTCATAGCTCAATACAAAATAAAATCTTAAGACAGACCTAGAAGGTGAGGTTTTCCTCCAGAGCTTGTCTCTAAGAGGGACCTTTAGCAGATGCTTAAGGAAGGAGTTCAAGAAACAAGAAGAGAGGTGTAAACTTTCCCCTTGTGTATCCTTTCCACTTCTGCAGGTGAGTAGCTTGGAGACTTCCAGAGTCCAAGACTGTATCTGGATCATTGTTTCTGACAGCTGTCTGTGCACATATCCTCCATGACTTTGTCTAAACCTTTTTTGAACTCATTTATGTTTTTGGCTTCCATAGCATCCCGTGGCAATGAGTTCCACAATTTAATTATGTGCTTTATGAAAGAGTATTTCCTTTTGTTTGTTTTAAATCTGCTGCCTGATAATTTAATTGGGTTCCCGCTTGTTATAAGAAATAATAAATCACAATTTACTGCTTGCTTTTTCACATTTTTCTTGATTTTTATAAACCTCTACCGTAGTCATCTTAACTTGGAAAACTTATGACTGTATCTGAGTTAAGAGTTGTAATCTAGTTAGTGTCTGTATGGAGACTGTTCTGTTACTTGGATAATCCTTTCTCACTCTGTGGTGAATTTGTTCTGGTGTTTCTATGTTTTCATGAGGTGAGATGACCAAAGCAGTATGTACTGCTTAAGATGTGGATGCACTGGGATCTAGTAATATTTTATATTAGTGTAATCTCTTTTGTGTACCTGTCTTCCATTACTGCAGAAGGTGATATGACCTAGAGCAGCTGTATGGCTTTTCTTAACTTGGACTCCCAAGAGCAGCAGAAGCCTAAAAACTACTTGGTGTACTCAGTGTGAAGCAGTGTTGTAAGTTAGAGGCATGTTTTCCTCCAGTAATGAAGGCTTCTTGCTTTTATGTTTTCAATTTGTGCTCAGGAGTCAAAAAGCCAAAATTATGTTAATTCTTCTTCTGATCTGAGAGGCACAAACTTAGAATAGCCACTGCTTACACTTTTGAATTATGGTAGCTATAGTTGTTCTGAGGCATCATTCTGCTGGGGTGTTGTGCTTTTTGTCTCCATAAGGTGCGTGCACTGAGACTTCAGCTGATGTGATCTCATTTATTTAGCTAGGGAACCTTCATAGCAACATGGCCCCAGTAGGTCTGGAGGAATCATGTCTGCATATTGATTCAGATCCACGTTTTATTCCAAGTGGGTTCATTACTATGTTAGTTCAGATCACAAGTGCACTCATGGAATGAATTTCTTGATTGTGTCTGCTCAGTGTACTTTGGTTTGTGTCTCAGAGATGGCAAACTCTCTTCCTTTCAGATGAAACTATACTGAAAAGATGCACTCAGGGAGCACACCTAATGCACTCCAGGTATTGCTGGGAATATACTGTCCATGGGACTAAGCTGGAGCCAGGCCAGCATGAACTCTCCTGCACTGGTGTTGAGTCCTCAGCACCGTTCTGCTCTACAGATACACTCCCCTTGCATTGTGCTATTTGCTAATGTAGGCATAGGCAACTTCTACAGAAGTTTTAAAACATTTTAAATAGTATTAAGCTTGCCACTAAATTACTTATATATGAGTCTTTTGCCATATATTATAGAGCATCTCACTGTTATTACCACAGATCTTCACAGTGTGAAAACATTAGCCCAAGTTCATGTATTGAGAGGAAGTTATCCAAGATCACATAAAGACATGTAGCAGAGGTACAGGTATAATTTGGCTTGATTAAGTCTTGGCCTAATGCCTGTGTCAAAACCACCTTTTTTTCCAGAATAGATCAAAAAGAAGGAAAATACTAACAGCCTTAACTTAAATAAGAATCAGGCTTTGTAACTGGACAGTCCTTTCACAACTAGTACTTTGTGATATTTTGTTGTGACACTTGATTGGCAAAACACACTGCTGCAGACATTCCAGAGCGATACTGGGACATTACTGATTGGTTTTGTCTCTGCAATTAAAGTCAACACTACTTCTGTTCAGATTTTTTGTGCCATACCTGTTGCTGTGACCTTAGAGATACTCATCATTCAGTTGTCTTGGATTAAAAAAAAGATAAATCAATATTCTTCTGTCTTTTTGTAGTCATATGCTGCAATCCCTGCCTATTACTTGAGGGACTTGCTGTACATGTATGTATTCCCAGGCAGCATTTAAGCATGATGCAAACCAAAAATACTGTGTCTCCATGGTAGGTCAAGCAGTTCCAGAAACATACTAAAATTATTGCTTATTCACAGCGTATTCATTCTGTGCAAGCACAGTAATATTGTCAGAGGGAGGAAGAGGTACCAGCAAGGAGCAGTTTCTTAATATTTCCAGAGAAAGTAATGCAGTCTGCGTTCTTGCTGTTGGAGGCACAGTGGTCTAGATCAGTTGTTCTAGTGGGCTTTGTGTGTCCCTTAAGCCTCAAGCAGAGCTTTCATGTCTTCTCATACTATGCTGGCATGACAGAGAGAGAACTTCTGAGCGGACCCCTCTGCCTAAGAACAGGTAGAAGAAAAAAATGGTTTGCACTTGTGGGTCTTGCATGTGCTGCATATGAGATGGAGGTTGAATATGTTCTTCCTTGGCCGAGTATTTCTTCTGCAGTTTGGGCTGCATGGAATTTCTTCTGCAACTTGAACCAGCAAAGAGATGTACTAAAAAGAGATTTCTCAAGAAAGCATTACATTACTTCTTTAACAGAAGTGAAAATAATTGCATTATTAATAAATTAGATGGCAGGCCATCATGCCTTTGACTTGAAAGAATAATTTTATTACATTGCATTTTATTTCATTTTTATCTGTACAGGTGAGAAGCTTAAGGGTGCGAATTGATGCAAACTTTAAAAAAATGTTTATTTCTATCTCCTAGGCTACACGACATGCAGAAATGGTGGCAATCGATGAGGTCCTTGACTGGTGCAAGCAACACGGCCGAGATTATACGGAAGTATTTGCACAGTCGGTATTGTACGTGACTGTGGAGCCCTGTATCATGTGCGCAGCTGCCGTGCGCTTGATGAGTATCCTTTCATGCTTATTCACGCTGGGCAACCCTATGTCAAAATGTTACTCTTTTGGCAGTGAGCCCACAGAGGATAACTTGATGCTGTCAGGCAAAGCCAACAGAGGTACCATCTCCTGGTGTAGGAGCCTGCAGCCACCTCCATTTACTTCCTGGTAAATGGTGAGAGGCTCAGGAATGAAAGAGAAATGGTGCAGTTGCAACAAACGATTTCCCTTAGGGATGTCAAAATACATTTTAGAGATACCTGTTATTACATAAAATGAGGTAATCTCAGTTCAGTGGTCAGTGTTGAATGTTGTAACAATCAGTAAACCATGGCTTTGTATGCCTGTGCTTTGGGATTCATGCTTCTTCTCCAAGGAAGGCTGGATGTGTGCATCTGCAGCAATACATCTTGTATTACTCAGAAGTTAGTTCTGATTTTATGAGGGAGGAATTGTAGTACAAACTAATTGAGTTTGAAAAGTACAAGCACATTTTAGTGAAATTTAATGACAATTTAAATCAGGCTACTGTACTTCCTGCTTGCTTTTCACTTTAACTTAATGCCTTAACTCATTCACATAAATTCCACGGGTCGTATATGGCTGTCGAAATGAGCGATTTGGAGGCTGTGGCTCAGTTTTGAGCATCTCGTCTGATGATATGGTAGACACAGGAGAACCATTTGAAGTAAGCTATAAAATGTTTTCCTTTGTTTTTCAGTTAGGGTACTGTGCCTAGCTTTATTACCATGCTTTGAGAATGTTATGTAGCAGTTTAAGAGGACTCAGATGAAAGATGATCAAAGTCAAGTAAACTTGACTTAACAAGAAAATAATGTAAAAAAATTAAGTCCTAAAAGAAAATTGAGGAGAAGCCTGATCACAATCTTAAAATGATTAAAAGGATGCATCAAAGAGGAAAGGAAAAAATTATAGTAATGCAACAAGGTAAGGAATAAATATATCTAAAGATGTGTAATACTTAGAACAGTAAGTGTATACTGCAGGAGGAGATGAGGGAAAAATTATTTTAAACTACAGAATGTACAAACATAATTAATAAAGATTAAGTAACAGCAACTTACGAAGTTACTGGTTTTTAGCTGAGCCACTGGAAATGATGGAATTTTTGCTCCCGGTCTATCCATATACGAAGTAAACGCATTAGCTTAGACTTACTTCATATAGTTCAAATCCCAAAATAAATATGGAGTACAAAAGTAGCAGAGGAGGTTTAATTTAGATGTGGGGAGACTGAACAGTGAGGATGCTGAAGGACTGGAGCAGAGGGTCTGGGGAGAATGAGGCATCTTTGTCATTGAAGCAGGGCTGGACAGTCATTCAGTGGAGGTATAGTATAGGTAAATCTAGATCCTTTACAGCATTATAGTAGTATACCTGTACATACATAGAAAGTATTTATAGAATTATATTTATTACATTATGCACAGTTGTAGATGATCCTGCCTTATACAAGGGTACTGATTAGGGTTCTTGGAGTTCTTTTCCACACAACATTTATGATTTAATGAATGTTAAAAACAAGTAATATATTTCAGCATTGTAAATAAGCACTAAAGTCTCAAGGCTCAGATAGAATTTCAGTCCCCAAGATGATACTGTTTGGCAGTCCAGTGTAAACATATTAAGCATCTTTCTGTCAGGGTGTTTGTGAGACTAGCATCTGAATTTGTATAGTCAGTACTGGAAGAGTGTTCATTTGCTAACACTGGCACGTGGTATTTATTTTTCCTATATGTTCAGAAGAAATAAAGAAAGGAGAAGATTCCTGTTACTACAAGTCTTTCATTTGTTTCTGTAGGAAACTGTAGTGGAATGTATGGGTGTAATTCATTATTTTCTAGTGTGGCTGGAGATGCATTTAGTGTTAGTGACATTTAAACACTTTGTCATTAATGTTCATGACCTGGAAAGGTATTTTGGAAGGACCAAAACGGTCTGAGAAGGTGACTGTTAGGAATAAAGAATAGGTGTGTAGGTGAATGCTTTCTGGTAGGAATCCTATGTACAAATACCTAGGTGTATGTCTCATACTCCTCAAGCACTTGGAAGCGTGAAGTAAGTTGGAAACACATTAATAAGAAAGAAACTGGAGATAGCATAAAACTTGCATGTAAATTACTAAGAAAGTTTGTTTTGCCTAACTTTATTACTCTACTAAGCCTCAACAAAGTATTTTTAAAACATATTAGGTAATCAGCTTGAAAAGATTTTCTGACCCCCCAAATAGACTGTACAGTTGTTTACAATTATTCTGTACTTAAGGCATTATTGTGAAGCATGGAATGTGTTATTCTCAGATGTGCTCATGAACATCATTCTAATTTGAACAGTGCATTTCTGGTTATCGTGCCAAAGAAGCAGTGGAACTGTTAAAAGCTTTCTACAGACAAGAAAATCCCAATGGTAGGTTTCACATTAATGGATCCATTTTGATCCCACACTAATTTAAAAGAATGCTGGCACTGGTGTTACTGTAATTAAATTCTAATGGTTTTTCTCCCTTTCTGTTTCTTCTTGGCAGCACCAAAATCAAAAGTACGGAAAAAGGAGCATCGTAATTAGCCCTACACTGATGGGAGACAGAAACTTACCAAAAAACGATATGAGAAGGTTTCTTCAGCATACTTCTTTTTTAAAATGTACAGACCAATTAAACTTTGTCTAATGTTCTGTACACAGCTTTTACTGATAGGATACTTACTACCAGTTCTTGTGTTTCTATGTATGTGATTTCTTGTTATCATACATTACCAAACAGAAGAATAAGTGACTGTTTTTAGAAAGAGGAAAATTTGTGGTTCAAATTCACTTGTTTACAGCCAGATGGATCCATTAAAATGATCCCATTCTGTACAGCACATTTTTGAACATTTTCTTTCCTTCTGTCTGTGGAGAAGCATCTTGCTTTTCGATAGTAAATGTTTGTTTAGGCAAGTAAGTAAATCTCTCGGAAGGTTACATTTGTGAGACCTTCACAGTCCTTGTTTATATATTTAATGAAAAAGGCATATAAGGAATTGTACAGTCCTTGAAGACTTCAGATACGACCACTGTAACTGTTCTTCATTGTTTCTTTTACACCCCCTCTAGCATAAGCCAAATTTTCAGACATAACTTCTGAAAGTCACGTACATATGTAGACAGGTATATATGCAGTTGCATCTCAGTTTGTGTATGCTGTGGCTTAATAAGCATAAGTGTCACTCGACTGCACAGCATCTTCATACAAAGTTGTGGAGAAACTCTCCACAACTCTCTTTAGACTGTCCCCTCCTCTTGTGAATATTAGCATAAGAAATGCTCTCAGTGGGTTCTTAATGATAGAAGTTGAACTTGTTCTCAGCTGCTAAATTATAGGAACTGAGACAGGCAGATACATGTGAAGACCAGGAAATTAAATTGGTAACAGTATGAAGAAATATATTTGAAATGCATGTGTTCTTCTAGCGTTGATTGGCTTTGTCGTTTCCATGTACTTTGCTTGGCCATGCAGTAATTTATAATCCAGAAGAGGGCCTTACAGTTTCACTAATGAATTAAGAATACAAGTACAGTTCAATCTTGACTATATACCTCTTAGTGGGTACTTACGAAACTGTTTGTAGTTTATTCGGCTGATATTCAGAAATTTGAGAAACGCCCTAACTTTTTTTTTAATATGAAAGAGTGGTTAGAATTCTATGACTATAAAAACTGAATACAGTTAAAACTTTTAGATATTTCAAATAAATATGTTCTGAATTGTTTTAAAAAAGTGCATTAAAAAACATTGCTTTGTCACCATTGCTCCTAATAGCTTAGAATTTGTATGTTGTGTGTTTACTTATTGTTTACAAAGTGATATGGGAAAGAAGTGTTTTTACCATAATAGCTATTTTCCGAGTTTAGAAATATTATTCCTTTTACTTAAGCCCTTTAACTGATGTCTCTGACCTATCCTGTTCTCCTGACCATTACTTACAGCGCTCTTGGAGTCTTTTCCTTTCTATAAGCAAAAGAAGTTATGACTGTGTTTGCAGAATTCATCAGCTTCAGCGTTCCAAGGGCTCATGAACCAGAAAGCTAAGCTGGAAAAGCTGTTCAGGAAAAGACTGGGTTTGATGACTGTGATGGCTTTATTGGAAAGAAATGGTCCCACCTGTGGTTACGGTATTTGGCTGGTGATGTAAGACAGATATTTATCTATACAGATACATACATTCGATTCTCAACTGGACCATAATTTCCTTATACCTTGAAGAAGTCACTGAAGTCCAAATAAAAGGAAGACGTTAGACTTCTGATTTTTCATTGACATCAGTACAGTAGGAATTGGAGCCTACATATTGTTTTGGACCAGGACCTGACTCTCTCAGCACCTGTTCGTCTGTAGAGGGGCTAAAAATGCTTTCCTTCCCTACTGCCTTCTTTCAGAGAAGAATGTTGTTAGCATTGGGATAGTGTGACAGTAGGAGCCATGTGAATAAGTAGAAAGATTACCAGTAGCAGGACAGAACACCCTTTAAAAGCTGTGTCCAATTCTGCAATCCTTCAAAGTGGAACATAAATTTTGTAATAGGAGTCAGTGGTAACCTGTCACTTAAACTGTTTTTTAAATCCTCCTCAAAGCCAGAAGAGACTGAAGAGGGTGAGGGTGACAAACAAAAATTTCTCTTAGGAGTGATCAAGGGTAATAATGTGCATCTTGAAAAAGGAGCATGAAAGAATAACAGCAAGCTAAAAACTGTCGTATTATAGAAAGGTTATAAAAGGTGCTTCTGTTTACTATTTAGTGTAATTGTGAGGAAAAAAGAAAAGAGTCTAGTATTAAGAGGCACTTTATAATTAGCTTGGGGAACAAACTGCTAAAAGCAAAAATGTAGCCCGTTCTTCTTAAAGTCCTATTACTTACGTGAGTAAGAACAAATGCAAGTACACAGGTGTTTATATAAAAGAAGGAAGCTAACCCCTGTGGCCTGGCACCCCGAGAGCCAGCCTCCCTCCCGCCGCGGTAGCAGCGGTTCTGGCAGCAGGAGCCCACGGAGGCTGGTCCTGTCGGCCTCCGCCTGCTGCTGCCCGCAGAGTTGGCCCTGGGGCAGTTGTCCCTGTCTGATGGGCTGCAGCTCCTCCTAACTGTGAGTGTTGTTCAGAGCTGGAGTCACAGACTTGAGCACTCCACAAGAAATCACGGAGGTCCTGGGCAGAAGGCTCTAGGTTCAGGCTTAGAGAAGCATCTCCTTGGCTAAGCTCAACACAGGGGGTGGAAGAAGGCAGCCACGACAGTTAAGACCCAATGAGGTGACCAGTTTCAGTGCTCCAGATCAGAAAACTTAACAAGAAAGAGAATTAGAGAATACAGAAAGAAGAACGTCAGAAAAAGAATGGAACTGTTCTTGCAAGGCAAGAAGGAGTGGGTTGCTCATGGATGTGGAAGCACAGACTTGGTTTGTAACTTGCTGCCAAATAAAATCCTGCAGCAAACTGCACCAGAAGCACTCCAGGAATCAAGAACTGATGGGTTGCACAGCCTGAAAGAAGTGTTGCTTTCCGCTTGCTGGGGAGCTAGGTCTCAGGCTTTGGCCCTAGCCTTAAAGGAGTGTCAAGAGCAACAGCTTTAATTGTTACTGCCACCTGGAAAACTCAGAGTAGCGGCTTATAAAGGATGCTATTTTTCACAGTGCTTTTACTTATTTTTATCTATTTGAGTCTAGGTTGCCACACAACAGGCCTCAAGAGCAGCAGTAAATATATTCAACTGGTTTACTTGAAGTTTAAATGCTTCACATCACCATTTTCCCCTTGCTGCTTGATAAATAAATACATAGGCTTCAGTGTTATGTTTACCTTGGACTGCATTTTTGCCAGTTCATCACAGACAAACATGATTTTAATTCAGCCTTTGGTTTGCTTGTCAATAGTCTGGCATCAAAATATATTGAACCAGCTAGGAGGGCAAGGAAGCAAAACAACACTGCTTTGTCTCGCTAAACCAATTACAATTGACAATCCAAGGCTATAATAAATACATCTTGTGACTTGCACACTAGCGGAGAGCCTGAATTTAAATTATAGCTTTGGGTTTTGAAATGCTCACTGATCTATTCCATTCCCATTAAGAGTGCCTTCCGCTCTGCAAAATTAAGTGATATCTTTATATGACAGTTTAATTAATTTATTTTTTGATATGTACATTTATGGAGTTTCTCCATTAAGCTTTTGAAATGTCTGTAGGTCCTATGCATTAATGTAAATGTGCCGTGGCCCATAATTACCTTTGGCAGGCTTAGGGCACTGATAAAAAGATTATATTTTTAAAAACTAAAGTCCTCAAACTTCCCCGGTGCTTGGCAGGAAATCTATTTCTGTGTTTTATTTGGAGCGGGGCTGGGGAGCCTGCAGCCAACTCCAGTGTAGGCAGTAACTGTTACATTTTAGAAGAAAATATATTTGACGCTAGATGAGAGAAGGGGAGAGGAAGACAATTAGTGCAAGAGTACTAGAAGCAGCTGTTTATTTGCTTTGCCTTGTGGCTGCCAATATATACTCTTATCATTAAAGTGCATCTAGAAACAGGGTATTTTCTATGAAATTACTTCGCAAAACACGGATCTTTGTCTTTTTAAGGGGCTGCCCCGAAGTGAGTTTATCTTCCTTTTTCACAATAGCTCTGCACTAGCCAAGAATGCTGGGTTCTCCCTTTGCATCCTCCTCCCTCCTTTCTAAAAATGAACTTTTCAGGGAAATATGGAATTCAGAGAACTTTGAAGGCTAGCAGATGGCCAACAGTGATCCAATAGGATGTAAAACTTCAGTTAGGTAGTTGCTTGGCAGGCAAGTACAAGTGAGCCCATGATGTTTCCATAGTGATGTTTTCACATGGTGTCTTCCTTTTGTCTTTAAAAAAAAAATCTAAGTGATTATAAAAAAATTAAAATGGAAGGGGTGGTCGTGAAATAATAAAAAATGAAGGGCTCTGTAGACCTGAACATTTAGCGTGGTTTAATTAACTCTGCCCTTCCCAGAGGCAGTGACTTGGGCTTTTGGCCGTTTTCCGGCTGGAGAGCGATGCACTGACCTCAGCTGTGGTCGCACTCGCCAGCCTCAGTTGCTGTGGTGCTTGTGGGGGCTGCCCGGGCTGCTGGAGAAAGCAGGGACAGCTTCTGAAATCAAGATATGCCTCGGCACGTAGTGCTCTTGGAGGGGCAGTTGCTCAGGCACTGATTTTTGTGGTGTCAGGATTTCACATCTGCGTATGGGGGAAGCTTTGCCATGGCACTTCTCTAACCTTTAGAGCTTTCTCTGCTTGCAAGCAGGCAGTGTAATAAAAATTGATGCTTCCCATGACTTTGATTCCCACTTTCTCTTTTGAAGTCTGAGAGGTAGCCATTACAGTCACATTAATTTGTGAAGATATAAACAACTGCCATTATCTGTGCAGCCATACTGCACAAGAGAAACAAGATTTGTAGGGAGAGGCAATATCTTTTATTAAGCCAAATAACAGTCAGAAAAAGCAGGCAAGTTTTTCAACAAGCAGCTGTAGGGACACAGTGTTCAAAATCTCACCAGCTTTTTCCACACATCTAATGAAAGTAAAACAAAAGTACGTACGTACATTCTTGTATATACCATCTCCCTGCAAACCTTGCTTTTCTTGAAAAAATATCTGGACAAATTTCACTGTAAGCTGCTTTGAGCAGGAAAAAAGATTGGAGGAGACTGGACTGGGGGTAAAGTCTGCCCCTAACTCCTCTGGAGACCCCTCTGCCCAGACAAGTCAGAGCGCACACCGGCTTTTTTGAGGACCCCACGCGCTTTTCCCTTCCCAAAAGTCCCCCGGCGAGGAGCTGAATGCAGCAGCTCACTGAACCCCTCACCCTCATCCAGGGAGACTCCAGAGGAGACGCAACTTCCTAGCAGGAATGCTGTGGGACAGGGGGAGAGAAGATTGCATTACCTGTGGTTTAGGAATCTCGTATGCTGTGGCATGAGCAAGTGAAGTCAGTTAAGCCTGGGAACAAAGCTGCCCAGCTGCCCTTCTGTGTTCTGGCCTCACCCCCCTACACAGAGCTCCCCAGCAAGGAATCCCTCTGCTGGTGCAGTGGCCAGCCTGTTATTGCTAAACCTGATCCTGGAGAGAGCAAATACTTGCTTTTTTAAGAAATTAATTTTCTTGCCCTCTGTGACTTCTTTCCAGTCATGCAGTGCAGCACTTGTACAGGCAGCACCGGCAGCAGCCTGGATGAATCATTCAAAAATATACCTGTTTAGTGCACTTTTTAATGCTTAAATGTGTTTATCCCATCAGGGAGCTCTATCAGGACGCTCAGGCTGCCAGTGACAATGGGGAGGGCTGAAAGCGCTCCACCACAGTCGCAACAAAACCTTGATTATTTACAACGAGGGGCACTTCAGTAGCATTTCCACCACAGGGAAGGTCTGGCAACTTTGGTCTGCGCAGCTACAGCTCAGGGAATTTCAACCTCTGGATTTACCCATAGGTTTAGAGTCCATGCAGTGCTGCTGTGCCACAGAGGGCAGTTAGGCAGTGGCATGGAGCTGGGCTGAGCGGAGTGGCTCAGACTCTTTCCCATCTTCACCATAACCCTGTGCTGCAGGCATTTCCTCAGTGCTCGCTCCCTTCACCATGTTGTACTGAAAGTTACAGTTTGTTCCTGCAGGTCTTAGTCCAGGTAGGGCAAGACTTTAATCCTCCTTTATAACCTGCAGCAGAGCTACGGAGCGCTCCCCTTTGGAGCCAGCTGCCTGTCCGTTCCAGATTTCAGAGCACCGTCGGGCAGCATCACTCAGCAGCCATCAGCACTTGCCCACATGCCAAGGCTATAGTTACAAACATAACTTATAGATATCTTTGTGTCTGGTCCTGTGCCGTGCTCAACCTGGCTGAACCAAGGAACGCGCCTCCCTATTGATCTCACCCAGCATTTTTTCATTTTGCACCCTACTTTCCCCCCTGCTGACCCCCGAAAGCAGCGAGGAGCTGCACTGCGTAGCTGAGGAGCAGTGGTGGTGAGGAGCCTCTGCCCTCCTGCCTTTCTGCCACTCCAGCTAGAATAACACCAGCTACCAAGAAGGAATAACCCACAAGGAGCCTAATGAAACAGCAATCTGGCATTAAGATGCGTATAGAGTTGCCATTTGTTAAATTGACAGATGACATTTGGAACATGCAGCCCCTATTCATTTTTTTAAAGCTAAATACTCTCTTGGAATAAAGTCTTCGCCATTAGTCTTAGAGCTGATTTCCAGCCCAGACAGGGCCAGCTGTGCTTTTAC